ACATTTTTTTTTTTTTTTTGCGTCAACTTAATCAAAGTATTACTATTTCTTTTGCTACCTGCAAATTTCAATTGTTTTTCTGTTTTGTTTCGGACGTAGAGTAATAGTGGAAAGAATGCGAATACTCCGCCGTGAAAATCACCGTCAAATTTATCAGACCAGAATTTAATCTCTCCAAACAAAACAGAAAAAACAGAGACTTATAAAATCAATTCACCAAAATTATCAAAATAAGAAACCGATTAAATCGAAATAGTTATTACCTTGTTGAGAATAAGCGTGGCACGTAGGACAGATACACCACCATGCATCATGCATGAGAGGTAGTAGAAGAAGATTTAGGAGAACAGTTAGACAAAACCTCAGACTTGAATTGTTACTTGTCCTTGGAGTAGCATTGCTCGTGGTTCTGCAATGGATTTTAGGGATAGTTACCGAATAGAGACGGTCGTTGAAGCGGCGGAGAGGCAACCTGTTCCGACGCGACGTCGGAGTTAATATGGGTTTGACAAAAATCCAAACTTTGATCGGAAGTAACGAAGAAAGCAGCAGAAGAGTATGTAGTTAAGATAAGGGGAATGATTGACAAAAACCAAAATCAAAGAGCCAGAGAAAGCCAATGAAAAAAAAATTAGAGTGAAAATAGGACCGAAATTTTTACGTTTGATAATGATTACAAAAATTGCAGTTTATGATTACAAAAATTACAAAAATATGAGCACTTAAATTGCAGTTTCTCCTTGTAAGTAGGAAGTGGAGATCGTGAGAAGTTACAACTTATAACGTTAAAAGGATTTTAAAATTGCAAATTTTCGATTCTTATCAGATTAATAGTTAGTTTAAGAAAATTAAATTCCAAAAAATTGAGAAATTAACACGTAACAAAAATGCTGAAATGTCTTTAATGAGAGTGATTTTAGGAGTCTCTCACTAACTTCTGTTTTATATGATAAGGAATATTATGTTTTATTGTAAAACGCTTAGACCATCTCAAAAATCGCCTAGATTTCAATTAGACTTCTAGGCACTAGGTATTAGACCGTTGTCCGCTTAGCGCCTAACGTTTTCATGAACATTACTTGTAAACTAGTATACTACCGGTCGGTAAGGTAAAAGAAATGTATAAATGTATATAATTTATATGATAGAAAATAATATCAAAATAATAGAACACAATCTCATTAGACATGTTTGCTAATTTTTTTGGGTATTTACAAGAGAGCATATAGTACATAGAAACATATATATGTGAAGGATGAACTATGTAAAATGATTAACAAACAAAAAACTATGTAAAATGCTAATGAAGTAAGCGTTTGAACAAAAGCAATAATTACAAAAATATTATTTTTGGTGTGTCAGTTTTCAAAAATGCTACTATAGGTTGTCGATTTTCGGAAATACCACAAACTAAG